CTCAAAGGCGGATTACCCCCATTTGTGGTCCTTTCTCAAGATTTATTCTTTTTTTTCTCCTTATGGGGTTTTTGAGTGTTTTCTTGTCCTCTTGGGGGGGAAGGATTCCAGAGTAGAAGTTTGTCAACCCCTCTCTGGAGCCCAAGATGTGTGTGGAGGCTAGCCCGACTATATCTAGTCAGAACTTCTCTGCCTCACACTCTCGCTGGGGCTCCTTCCCCACCAGAGAGGTGAAGTTCCATGTCACTACAGCTAGTTTCTGTACCTCATAGGGTACCCGACCCCTTTGGCCCCTCCCAAAGATGGTGAGTCCAGGGGAAGCAGGACTAGGGCTGCACGGCATTGGAAAAACAACAAAATGCGAAATGGGTGTTGAATATATGGATAACCATATTATTGCGATATTTACCATGTACCTAAAGAAGTGACATTTTTATTATCTAATGAATTTAATTTTTTCATGCGACAAAATAAGGAAGGTTTCGAATTTTTAGTTAATTAACATTAATGCACTGAGATACTGTTTACCTATTGGGTAGCAATGTACTTTTAAGGATCCATTGGACTTGTCAAATTTGGATAAACATATACAATTCTATATGAGACTTATTGCATGTCTTTGCAATATGCATATTGGATGGGCCATTAACGGAATAATATTTTTCAAAATATTATGCAGCCCAAAGGGGAACCCACTTTGCCTTTTCTGGCTGTGCCCGACCCCTGTCCCGTGGGTGCAGGCCTGGCCACCAGTTGCTCGACGATGCCTGGCTTCAGAGCGGGGCCCTCGTGAACCCTGTCCTGGCAATTGATATCCAGGCCCAAAATTTTCACTCATCATAAGGGGTCTTTTCCACCGTGTCCACCTCGGACCTGTTTGCTATGAGTGACCCTGCCCCAGACGACTTAGCTCCTAGGATCACTGGGATACGCAACCCCCTCCACTTTGCTAAGGTGAAGGCTTATATTTTATTAGGTAAATTCAAAAACGTGACTGAAAGAAAAACAAAACAAGAACAATACATAAAATACAGTATATATATTTAAATATTTATCTATATCTATCTATCTATCTATCTATCTATCTATCTATCTATCTATCTATCTATCTATCTATCTATCTATCTATCTATCTATCTATCTATATATGTCACTTGCTTGAAAAATCCCAGAAGAAAGCAAAAAAACAACAGAAAGCAACTCTATATAATCTAAAATACAACCCTCCCCCCGCCACCTCCTGAGTTTGTTAAATTAATTTTCCTCTGAGAAAAGACGTTGCAGCAGAAGCATAAAACCTTGTTTTTCTCTGAATAGACTCACCGTCTTTTGGTAATATTTCCACCATTAACTAATGTCTTTTTCAAATCATGGCAATCACAACTTCTTCCATCCGACCCATTCCTGGGGTAAACAAAGTCAGCACGTACCTTACTTGGTCTACAAACTAGCTGTCTCCCAATGATGTCAGTCCGAACTTAAGGTCAATTTGCATAGGATTTGGTGGGATTTCTAATTGAGGGATTTCTAACAAAGACAAAATGGTATTATAATTAGGATACATGTTATTCACAACGGCGGCACAATGGTCGACTGGAGAGCACATCAGCCACAAAGTGCAAAGGTCCGATTCCGGGCTCCGACCTTCCTGTGTGGAGTTTGCATGTTTTTGCCAGGCCTGTGTGGGTTTTCTCCGAGTACTGTGATTTCCCGCCATATTTCAAATAACATGCATGGTAGGCTGATTGAACACTCTAAATTCTATCCTTAAGTATGATTGTGCATGCAGGAAAGCATGATGGCAGAGATGGCTAGGAAAGCGCATTGGACTCGGAGGATTACTTCTAAGGGAAAAATCAGTCCTGGAACTTTGATGACACACCTTGTAAAAAGTTAGCCGCTGTAATAATAAAATGTTCCAAAAATTCCTCTCTTTCAACACTCTCTTCAGATCAATGATTAGTGTCTGTAAAATTCGTGACACAGAAAGAGTAGTTAACGACAAATATTTTCTGTAAATGAAAATGTAAGATTAGTTAATGTACAATCAAGATGTTCAGGATGATGCCAGTTCACCTTCAACTTTTTGTGCATCTTTTAATGCATATACAGTATTTCCTTCAAATTCTGATGAGATTTCAAATTGTACTATATGCGTACTTTGGTGACATTTATGACAATAGCATTTTTCATTCATATCCATGATTTGGCTTTTTCCACAACAGGAGTTTCCATAGGAAGGCTCTCAGAGTGACACAGGGTCACTTCATTCTTCATTCATTCATTGTGATCTTTTGACCCAGTGAGAGGCTATACATTCGGGTTTGATGAGACATTCCTTCCTGATGCCGTATGACTTGTCACTTGCACAGTTTTTTTCTTTCAATTGGGTCAGCTCAGCAGCCTAAGATTGATTGCAGACATGAGCCCAAAGTAATTTCCATCCATCCATCCATTTTCCGATCTGCTTTCTCCTCTCAAGCGTCGCAGGGCGTGCTGGAGCCTATCCCAGCTGTCTTCAGACACTAGGCGGGGGACACCCTGAACTGGTTGCCGGCCAATCGCAGGCAAAGTGATTTGACAGAACCAATTGCTGTGTCAGAAGTCAGAGATAAAACCTAAGCCAAGAATAAACCGACACTCATGAAGAGCAAATTGACTGTCAGCAGCAACTGCATGGCGTACCTATTGCAACTGCATACCTGCTATATGCACACACACACACACACACACACACACACACACACACACACACACACACTATGCACACACACACACACACACACACACACACACACACACACACACACACACACACACACACACACACACACACACACACACAGTTTTTCCTACATCAGGAGGCCAAACTGGGAGTCATAATTTGAAAAATTTACCTGGAAATAGTTTCCTTCACTCCCCCTCGATTTCTCTCCCAGCCTATTTTTTACCCCTCTGGACCAGCACACTCGTCATGTTGGCATTTCACTTATTTGCGTGTGAGTCACAGCTCAGCACTCCTGTTAAATACTTCAAAGTAGCCTTGCAGCCCAGAGTCCCTATGCTGCTCTGACATCATTGAATGACTGTTTTCACAGCTGCTGCTCTCATTGCCATAGTGGCCCACTCCTCACCACTTCTCCCTTCCGCTTCAGTATATACATATAAATATATACATATATTTATATAGAAAGAGAGAGAGAGAGAAAGAGAGAGAGACAAAGAGAGAGAGAGAGAGAGAGAGAGAGTTTTGTGTGTGTGTGTTGGGGGTGTGTATATGTTTGAGGGTAAGGTCTTGTGAATACAAAGGTGTGTTAGTTATATTCTAATAGGCAGACCTTTGTCTGGTATTTTGCATGCCCCTCACAAGAAAGTGACGTTTTTTGTGTGTTAGTGGTGGAGGATAAGGTTGTTGTATTTGAAAATTGTGGCAGAATTCTAAGATTTCCCCTATTAATCGTGAGAGGTATCATGTCCTCTTTCTGTATTTTTCCTGGAATGCTGAAAGTTCACCTAGATGTGTGAGTTGACAGTACACATGTCATCTTTTCTGCCCTGTCATGGCAACAATCTTTGAATGAACGCAGGTCCAACGCGGGGATCCTTGGCAGCATCGTGCAGGAGCTGTCGTTCATGGTCTCCCAATTCACACATGAGGAAAAATCCATTTATAACCATACAGCATCAAGCCACCTTTTTTCTATTTCCAAAGCTGATTTTCAATCAGGAACCCCCAAACTCTGGAATATTCCATCTAAGGCTCGCCACAGTTCTCGCACAAGCCTCAGTTATGCAATTGTGGCTGGCATGCATGTGCCTCTTGAAAAGTGGCCACATGGACTGTCGTAGTTAATGTTTCATGTTAAAGTATCACGTGTATTCACAGTGCATGTGCATCTGCTGCTATGTATAGTACGTTTTGAAAAAAACCCAGCGAGCACATTTGCTGTGATGTAAGTTCTTTCAAGTACAAATCTAGTCTATGGTGCCCACAAGAAGAAATGTAATGGTTTCAGTGGAATGACCAAGGATGGCTATCTTATGATTGCAAAACTGAAAACTGTTATCTCAATTATATTGCTGTGGTCTCAACATATGGTGCTGCAGCAACTAGGTGTTGGAGGGATTCATGTCTGGTTACTGGCTACTGCTGAACTGCCCTTGAGCAAGACAGTTCCACTACCCAAGCTTCAGTGGCAGGCTATATGCAACACTCTTCCACTAAATCTTTCCTTGTATACCTGCATGTGGGTAATTTGGTTCTACATGAAAGCAGGCCAAAACACCGGACCAGCTAGTACCATATTTTCTGCATTATAAGGTGCACCTAAAAACATTCAATTTTCTCAAAAGCTCACAGTGCGCCTCATAATCAGATGCTTCTTACATATGGATCGATTTTCTGATTTCTTGGACGTATATTTTAAATGTTCTGGAGAGCGCTTTGTTAAAGCAGCAGCGGTTGTGAAAGCTCTATATAAATGAAGCTGTATTGTATTGTATTGTATATCCCTTTAGCGCAGTTCCATCTAATGTATAACATAACCGCAGCCACTATTGTAGCTTCTATTCTATGCACCTTATAATGCGGTCCACCCTATATATGAAAACAGTTTTAAAATATGCCATTCACTGATGGTGCACCTTATAATCCAAGTATAATAGTGTGGAAAATACAGTAATTTGAATACATGTTATATAATATTCAAGGCTCAATTTTTTTGGACTGTATTCCGTTACATTTAAAGAAAAAAAACCACACACATAATCACAGGTGCATATATGATAATTTTTGATTATTTTGCAGAATTACAGTCGGACAGGCTTCTCTGCAGTACGGGAGCGCCGCAGGGGACTGTTCTGGCT